GGGGGGCGGCGGTGATCGACGGTAGTTGACGATAATTAATGACGGTCGGCGGTGGTCAACGGAGGTCAGTTGTGGCTGACGACAGTCAATGACGGTCGGCGGTGGTCGATTGAGGTCAGCGGTGATCAACGACGATCAACGGTGGCTGACGATGGTCGATACAGGTTAGCGGTGGTTGTCGACGGTCAGTGGTGGTCGACGGCGATCGACGATAACGAGTTCGACAATGACGAGGATGATCTTGGACTTGAGCTTCTTCTCAAAGCCTCAAGTTCTCTCTTAAGCCTCCCTCCTCTCATGTGAGGGGTGGGGCTCTATTTATAATATTTTGAGTCCAATTAATGCAAGAATATGAACCATTTTGATCGGACGGTCCGAAGAACTTCCCTTGATCAGATGACGTTTGATGGGCATTTGAGTGCCTTAACGATGTCAGAATTGAGCAATTATAGGTTCATTGGATTCGTCTTGTCGAGACGCTCGATTCGACTATGAACTTGTTAGATTCGACATCCGTTTGATCTTTTAAATGCATCCGGAAATCCTCCAAGTGCGGTTTGATGATTTGATCATGGCTTGATTTGACTTGGATTGGATTGACTTTCATATCATTAGGTACGTATCTTCGAGCCGATTAGTTTGACCATAAGTTTGCTGAAATCGGAGTTCCGGACGACTCTTAATCGAAGTTTGAATGTTTCTTTTTCAAAAAATTGCACCGAGATTCGTGTCAGATGATGAAAATTTATTGGTTGTGTATCATGTATGATCTTAAAGTAATTCAAAATTGAATGATTTAACAAAAAAGGCTATTTAAAATTGGATGGTAAAAATATAATTCAATATAACATATAAATATTTTAGAATCTAGATCGCGTAATATGCTTATAAAAAATAAATAAATATCTAAATTACGATTTCTCAAAAATAAATATTGCTTTCATTAATATGCATATATAATTTTACATAAAGATGTTTATTAATATTTTAAAATAAAAATTTAAAATCTACGATATTATATTAATTTAAAATCACAAACTTCTAGTGTTGAAATTAATTTTTTTTAATAGCTTCTTTAAAATTAAAAAAAAGGAAAATAGCAACTCTGTAAGGAAATGATGTGGCCTGCTCCCCAGAAGCTTCCATTTAAATTTCTCGAGAACTATATTTTTATTATTAAAATAATGTTAATCAAAGCTCTTCTTTAAAATTTCGTCTCCTTTGGTATAAAATAATTTAAAATATTTAATAAATTTTACTTAAAGTTTAAATTATTAGTTGATTTAATTTTCATAAATAAAATATAAATTATAAATAAAATTACGTGGAATTGTTCTTGGACTTATGATGTTATGTTAAGCCCAGTTTTCCCAAAGAAACGCAGCGACGAGAGGGGTGATCGCTGGCGATTGTATTCTTGTGTTTATTAATTGGAGCAATAAAGCATATAATATTTGCAGATAACGTGAGGAATCCCTCAGCCGTCCCATCCAATATTTCCCTGCTCCTCTCGTCTCGTCCCCCCTGCTACGGTACCCTCGTCTCTTATTCCCACAACCGAACCCAAATGTCTTTTATTTCTTACATCACCGACAACAACACGGGCAGAAGCTGAATCTCCAACGACTCGCCGGAAACCGTACGGCGCATTCGATACCCATGGAGACAGAGCCCCATCGGCCGCAGCAGCAGGGGATGAGCTCCCACTGCCTCCTTTCCAACTGCAAACGCCATCCCGACGAGCAAGTCACCGGATTTTGCGCGTCCTGCCTCCGCGAGCGACTTGCCGGACTTGACAATGATAATGCTCGCCGCACCTCCACCTCCTCCGCCGCCGCCTCCCTCAAAACAATCTTCTTGAGTTCCTCTATTGGCGTCAATGGGCGTGCTTCTTCGTCCTCTCAACGCCGAAGCTGTCACAACAAGAACACCGCGGCCTCCTCCGTTCGACCGGACCTTCGACGTTGCAAATCGTTCGCCGGCGGTCCAAGATCCGACGCGGCAGTCGAGCCGCGACGCAAGTCATGTGATGTCCGCGTGCGGAGCACTCTCTCGTCCTTGTTTCACCTGGACGACCGAGATAGGATCCTCGACGGTCGCCAAAAATTCCTTCTTTCGTCGTCTACCGCAGCAGCCACAGCTCTAGCAGCTGGTGAGATTGAGGTTGAGGCGGACTCGGTTGTCATAGTGGATGCTTCAAAAGACGAATTGGAAGATGTTAAGCCGATGAAGGACCACATAGATCTAGACTCATCCCATATCAAGAAAGACCCTGCCAGAGAAGTCAAAGAAATTGCTGGAAGCTTCTGGCTTGCTGCCTCAATCTTTAGTAAAAAACTCCAGAAATGGCGGAGGAAGCAGAAGACGAACAGAAGCACGGCCCAACACGGTGGCATCCGCACCTCCTTGGCTTTACCGTCGGAGAAGGAAAAAAAACCCATTTCTTCTCGTCCGTTTAGAGACACACAGTCAGAGATCGCCGTAGATTCTATTGCTCGCCGCCGCTCTTGCGACATTGCTCCAAGATATTCCCTTGAAGCTGGTCGCATCTCCTTTGACGAAAGGAGATGCTCGCTGGAAGATCCCAGGGCTTCGTGGGACGGCTGTCTCTTCAACAGTGGTCGATCCTTGCATTCTCGGTTTCCAGTGAAGCTCGCCGTGGTTGAGGACGCCGTCGAGCGGTCCGACGGCCTCATCCCTGTAGAAGAGGATACAAAGACGCCAGGCTGCTCTGCACAGACCCGGGATTACTATTCCGACTTCTCTAGTCGCCGAAGGCGTAGCCTTGACCGCTCGAGTTCGTCGCGAAGACACTCAGTAGTGCTCTGCGACTCAAAACGAACTCCGAATGCCAGCATCCCCGAGCTCTTCCATTGGAGCAAGTTGGAGCGGGAGTCCAATTCTTTTAGAGAAGATGGTTCCGGAAACTTTGTTTCCACTTTCAGGGATCCAGTAAATATTCCTTCTGTTAAAAAGTCCCGCCATTGGAGCATTTGGGGGTTTATCCATAGGCGTAATGCAAACAGGCCAGGAGAATCCCAATCGATGGACCGAACCTTCTCTGAGACCTGGCCAGAGCTCAGAGTTACTGGGACGACGATGCAAAGGAGTAGTAGTGTGAGCGCAAGGAGGTCGTTTTCCACCAATGGCAGACTCTCTAGCACACAGAAGAGCGGTTGAAAAAGAAGAACAAGAACAGCAAGGAGATTGTGCTGGATAAGAGCCAGAGTGCGAGGTATTCTCCTAGCCATTTTGACAATGGACTGCTTAGGTTTTACCTGACGCCTTCGAGAGGTAACTGGAGAAACGGAATGTTGGCAAAGAACAAGTTTGGCAGTCCGCGATCCTTCACAAGTAATATACTAAGATTGTATTGAAGCATGAATTGTCTTACAGTAGGTTCATGCTCTAATTGCAGTTCTTTGGTAGTATTTTATTTTTCCAAGGATGTGAAGGGAGTGATAAAGAAAAAATTCTCATTTTGGCCATCTTTCTGATCATTTCATTCAGACATGTCAGCATCTTTCCACTTTCTCTTTCTGAGATTTCATTCTGCTATTTAGAATGTCCTCAGACATGCCAAACGAGCTGCCTCTCCTTCACTTATTTGTCATTTTTTCATTTTTTTTTTCATGGGAAATTAATCTTCCTACTATTTTATTATTTCGCATCTTCATAATGCCAGAGTTGCATAAGCAAATCGGCCTAATTTCGTGATGCTCCTCCACCAAGCTTTCTCCAATTAAAGGTGAGAAGGGGCGCACAGCCTTACCTGTAGGTCCTCTAATGTACAAGCAAATTATTTCAATAACGCCTCATATGCAGCTCGGCTCATGAATGGAGAGAATTTTAGCAGCATATTCTGTTCTAAATTTGATCAGTATGTTATTTTGGAGCTATTAAGTTTATTTTGAGATTAGCCATCCATTTAACTCTTGTGCTATGTGCTGGATACTGATTTATATTTTGCGAATAAGACTCCAGAGTACAGCCGAGTGAAGGAGAGAGAGAGAGAGAGAGGAGGAACAAGTTATTGTGGAGATTGTGGAGAGAATGAGAGAAGAGTCTTTTTATTCATATTTATTTCTTCTATTTATAGAAATATATTTTGTACAATTATAGAAGTAAAATAATAATTATAAGAATTGTTCTTAATATGATTAATGTTTTAATAAATTATATGGATTTAATGTTATGTATGTTTTACAATTTGAATTTTGATATGACGGTAATTGATTGGCCGACTCGCTAAAATTCGTCCGATTGACGTGATTGACCGGGTGGCGACCGTATATTGTGTATGGTTGACCAAGACATTCAGTCCGACGACGATTTCGTTTGCCTTGGCAAAAGTGGGTCAACCGGCTAATTGCGACTAGGGAGTTCCTACCTGCGCTTCGGTCGGTGGGATTGCTGGCATGATTTGTCGTTCAGGTCTCTCGCCATGACATGTCAACTGATTCTTGATCATGTGGCTAGTTGTGGGATGGTAGGATGTCTTGATCATTTGAACTTTGTCTGAACCATCTAATTGCTTTGAGATTCATGCCAATAATTATGGTGTATACACTATGGATATCTCAAGTTAAGATATGATTTAGTTATATAAGAAAAAAAAATTAAAGAAAGAGTTTACTTGGTATACAATTTTTCGCAGAACTAACCAAATCTTTCCTTGATTAAGTGAAATAGAATTTTACTTTTAAAATTCAAAATCCCGTTTTTAGGATAATTATTGATTAATTCAATATCCATTAATTAAAAATATAAGCTTTCCTCACTCATAAATTGTAAATTTTAAAATAAACAGCCTATCAATTATCAGAAATGTAATAAAAATTTGAAAATCATCATGCTCACTTCACAAAACTGATCAACTAAATCATGCTTCTGTTAAATCATATACTTAGGGAGAGCGGAATAAAGCTAATACTTTCATTTCTTTTTTATATTAATATGGAGCCATTGTTTATGATTGAATTATATAAAATAATCATGTTAATAATCAGATAACCATTGTTATTCTTCTATAACAATATTTGGAAGGAGCAAGAGACGTCGCTGGCCTCTGAAACTAGTGAAAGAAGAAGAACAGCGGGAACATGAATTAGGTCCCTGATCTTCTGCCGCCTACTCATGCCATTGCAGTCAGTCTGGTGCCACTGGATGGGATGAGCAGAGAGCTCTGAGGTTGGCTATAGTGCCCTGCCTATTCTCCATTGTCATCCTTGAATGCTCTTTAAGCTTTCAGGCCCAACACAAAAGAGGAAAAAGAAGATTTGGCTTTCACGGGGGAAAGCCAGCCACACGCACAAGGAAACAAGCTCAAGTAAAACCAAAAAGAAAGCAAGCAGAATCCTCTACTCGTTAAGAGCTTCGTCAGAGCCTCTCATGTCGCTTTCCAAGAACCTCTGTATGCCATATACATGACGCTGGATCTGTCTCATACAGGACGCCGCATCATATTTTTTGATGTTTTTTTATGCTTTCCATTATGTTAACTATGTGTCGACACGCCTATTTTTTGTCATATATGGTAACTTTAGTTTAATTACTCTCTATTTTTCGAGTTATTGTAAAAAAAAATTATATATTTGATAGTAAATAGAATCTTATAGTCACGATATGTAGAAGGAGATGATTTTGAGCCAAGTAGGGGTTGGCTTGAATTGATCAAGTGCGGCTCTAAATCGGTGCCTCGTTATATTCAATTTTGAGCTTGCTTAGCTTAAAATTGAATCGAGCTCGATTTGGCTCGAAATCGAAACAAGTTGGCTCAAATTGAGTTAGTTTGAACCGTTTTAGCTCGAAATTAGTCTAAAATTGGAACTAGCTGGCTCAAATTGAGCTATTTAGATCCATTCCAGCTCGAAATCGGCTTGTGACTTATTATATTTAATTTTATTTAACATTATATATAAAATTTTTGTAAATACAAAAATACTTCAAGCTGATCTCGAGTTAGTTCGAGCGATTCATATATGGCTCAAAAAATTCTATCCTATGTTTTGACTCATAGCTCGACTCGTTTATTCCGATCCAAGACAAAATTCCAATAATTTTCAAGATTTTAAAGATATTCAAGCTAAATTCACAGAAAATTTATGAACAAAAATGGTATTATGAAGAAAAATAAAATGTGATTTTTTTTTTTTTATTGGGCTGGGCTTATTAGTAAATATTTGCGCTTCCTGGTTTACTGGAAAGTTAAGAGACGGTGAAGAGGCCTGTACATTTGGAGATCGGAGATGCAGGAAGCTAGAGAAGCCTTGACGGTGGGAGCGGAGCCCTCGCGGATTCTGACGAAGCTGGATGTTCTTCCCCACCGCGCCGGTTATGATGCCAGCTTCTACGAGGGCTTCGCTCTCCGAGGAGTCCGTGTCGACAGCATCAGTCCAGGCCGCCTCTCCTGCTCCTTCAAAGTTCCTCCTCGCCTCACCGTGAGTTACTGTCTCACATCACATAACGATGCAAACGCCCCTCCTCTCCTTCTGTATTTTCGCCTCTTTTTCATCCCCTTACATTTCGTAACCCTAAGCCTCATGAAACAATTAGTATACAAATCCCTAATTGGATGCAGGACAAGAATGGGAACTTGTCGGTGGGGGCGATCGCTAATTTGGTGGATGAGGTGGGAGGGGCTGCCATGCATGCTGACGGCCACCACATGAAGGTCTCCGTCGACATGTCCATCTCCTTCCTCTCAAACGCCGAGCTTCATGTCAGTAATATCAGTCGACTTTCCTGCTTAACTCTTCTTTATATTTTGCTAATATGACTGGGAGTTTGAATTCAGATTTTCGCTGAAATTAGAAAAAAATGAATCACCTTTTAGATTATAGTTTATATCATCAATCATATCATACATCTTCTATATCTTTCTTGCAATTAATCTGTTTTTTTTTTTTTTTCAATCCTTAGTTCTCATCCCTATTATAATACTCCAAATTTATTGAAGGGTTATCTACATACGTACCACTTAATTGTTATGTATCCTTGTATGATTAGCAGAGTGATAAAATGTTGAACAAACAAAAAACTTATCTGTAATAGATGAAAAGCAGGATGAAGTGGAAATAACTGCTAGAGTCATTGGACACAGAGGCAAATACTATACCGGAACACACGTGCTGCTGAGAAACAAAGCCAGCCGGGAAGTCATCGCTGAGGGTCGACACTCTTTATTTGGCAATCTTAAAAGCAGGATATGATCTCCCTGTTTTGCTCCACTTTCATTATAACCAGATGCTTGCGTGGAATAAGATTAAAGTTCTCTTATATGATTTTACGAGCTACTTAGTTATAAATTCAGGAATGTTGATGCCTGTTCGTTTCCTTGTAATGTTTCATGGAGCGTTAAAGCCCCAAATCACCCACAAGAAACAGATAATTATGTAATGTTTGTCTGTGTTGGCTTCTCTTTACTTTTTGGTCTTTCTTAATGCTGCTGATTAGTGTGATCTGCCTTGTGAACTCTTTGCTCTATTGAAATGGGTTTTTATGTAGCTGCAGGATTTCTTGCTTTTAGTGTTGAATGAATTGGTTTGTTTGGAGGGTCGCAGCTGTCTTTAGAAGTAGCACTCAAATGTATTTCTGGGCTTCCATCAGAGTTAGATGACAGCTTTTTGATAAGTTTCTTATGTAGTAGATTTGATTGGGGAAAGCTTTTCACCACAAATCTCTTTTAGAAAATAGGAAAAAAATATATACGATATTTATGATGAAAAGCTGTTCCAACTTCCAACTGTCAAATGCTCGGTTCATCACAAATATTTTTTAGAAAATAGGATAAAAAAAAAGTATACTCGTTGGCTTGTCAAACACCCTTAGAGTATAGCTTTTGTTTTTATAATTATATTTTTATTACAGAAGGGGTAGGGCTGCAAATGAACGGTTTGACAGGCTACGTGGTTCGACATGACAAGCTACTCATGACTCGCTTCGAGTTGATTAGAATTCATTTGTGCATAAACGAGCAACATTGATTGTGCTGAAGATTTGTGAGAGTTATTGCTACTACAATGAAAAAAACAGGGAGTTTGGTTGAGCTGCTTGTACCGTTGTAAGCATTGGGAGAGTTATTGTTGTTGATAATGAGAAGAGTGGGCATCATTGTTTGTGTTGCTGGCGTTTGGGCATTAAAGCTGTTGGCTGGATTTAAAAGGGTGCAGTTTTAAACCATGTTTAGAATATTTTTTAAAATCAAAATTTAATTTCTAAAGCAGATGGGATTGTAAACAAAAATCATTATTTTCCTTTTTTTCTTGCATGCTCAATGAACAATTTAAAAATATTTAGCACAACTTGAATCAAGTTTTGATTTGAGCTCGATTTAAACTTCAATATGATAGAGCTTCAACAGGCTCTTGCTTGCTTGACTCCGTTCAAGAGGACAAAGGTTCAAGGGCAAATTTGCTCAGCTTGGTACTAGATGGGCATTATCATAAAAAGTGCTATTTAATGGAGGGAAATAGAAAAATCAGGGTCTACAATTGCCTCCATTGGCAGCTTATTGTCTAGAGTCCGGCTGCATCCGGACAACGGACGCGATACATTGATCGCATGAGATTTTTTTTCTTCCCAGCTATTCATATATCACAACGCAACGCAATAATTTTTCCTTGGCAGCTGGCACAAAGGCATTTCAGCCCTTGTATATATAAAAATCAAAGTTTAGGTATTAAGCAAGTAAATCATCCTTACTATAAAAAACACATGAGAACTAGTCCTACACTACGCGTTCCATGTATTAGCGCTGAAATCATATTGTATGCACATATTAATAATTCTCTATATTAACTGTATTTGCAATAAATCAATTGACTTTTCAATTAACCAGACTGCCAGCTATGCGTTGAATGCTGACCAGCTAAGAAGAAAACTAAAAAGAATAAGAGCCCACTCGATTTAGCCTCTTTTTTTTTTTTTTTTTTACTTTGCAAATAATTAATTTAATGAAAAATCCAAGCACACGGTTGGCAATTACCCTTATTAAGTTGTTATATGTTACTGGTAAAAAAATCAATATTTATGACTTATGACAGCTTTATGATCAGTTAAAAAATGAGAAAATTTTATTTTTCGTCACCGTTGACTGTTTTTTCCTGAAATGATGAAGGGTAAAATAATACGCAATTTAGAGTGCAAAGATCAGAAGAGGTTATTGAGGCCGCAGATAATATATGCAGAAATCAGGTCGTCGCCTCTTCGGCTTCAAACACAAACAAGATTCAAATGTCTCTCAAGCTTTAACTTACTCCAGATCTGAGGCTGGGAGTGTAACCAGAGAATTTTCCAACACATTCTTCAGTTGCTTCATCCCTCGCACAAAGAAAGTTATACAAGGAGCCAATCAAAAGAATCATAGCATCCAAACAGGTGAATTTTCTAGATCTTCTGCTACTCTTTCCTGTACACTTTGAATCTCAAGTCGACAGTACTCCTTATTGAGCAAAACTATAGAAAAAGTAGGAAAAAAATTCACCGCACTGTGATTAAGACACCAGGAAAGAAGCTTTTTAGGTACTCACAAATCTGAAAATGGCTACATATGGAAAATAAAGAATGAACCATCTCGACTTTGTGCATGGGCTTTTAGGCCTGTTTGAGATGGCCACAACTGCGTTTTTAAAAGTTGTTGAATTATGCTTTAATAGATCTTAGCCTACTAAGCAATCTTAAAGTCTTTCATATAGGATGACTAACTTTGTATGTCACGTACCTTCCCCACTAATGATCTGATATTGCTGCAGGCTCAGAGACATCAATAACTAGCAGCAACTCTGGTTCAATTTTGAAGCGTCGAGGTTTAAAAAGCTCAAGCACATATGAAACTTGTGCACAAGAAGCACAATTATCAATAGCTGAAATTTTCAGGGCCACCTGCAATTTCTCTCAGGACAATGTGGTAGGACAAGGAGGATTTGGAACTGTTTACAAGGGAAAGCTAATGGATGGATCTCTCGTTGCTGTGAAGCGTGCCACAAAGGTGTCCTGTCAAATAAGTAAATTATATTATAGTTTTTCTAATATTGATTGGAAAAAAGTTTTTAAGTTGTAATAGAAGACACCATATTGAATATGCTGACAAAAGGCTTTTGGCAGAACATACAAAAGAAGGGTGTTTCATCAGAGTTCAGGAGTGAGATAGGAACTCTGTCAAAGATAGAGCATCAAAACTTGGTAAGATTCCTCGGATGTGTGGAGGATAATGAAGAACAGATTGTTGTCACTGAATATGTTGGAAATGGAACACTGCGGGAGCATTTGGATGGTAAGTACTCTAATTTCTTAATTTTCAGCTTCACCAGTAATCATAAAACTGTTTATGGAGCAGAAAGAATAGAAATATAAACAGAATGAATAAGGAGAAGCAATTAAAGAGTTTTACAAAAAGGTTGTAGTCATGGTAATGATATGAAATGCAGACACGCGAGGATGTAAACTGGAGCTTGAGCAGCGGCTTCACATTGCAATTGATGTATCTCATGCAATCACCTATCTGCACACGTACACAGGTTTGTTTGTCATCCATAGCATTGAAAATGAAAGCCAAAATACTTTGTAATAATAACAATTATTCTTGAATAAAAAAGTGAACTTTATGATTTAAAACTCCGGTAAGATTAATGTTTTTGAGAAATGTCATCCATAGCATTGAAAATGGATGCTAAAATACTTTGTAATAATAACAAGTATTCTTGAATGAAAAAGTGGACTTTATGATTTAAAGCTCCGGTAGGATTAATGTTTTTGATAAATGCATTTTTATTTTATTCAAATAGTTCTGCAAGTGCAACATGAAATTTTATCTATTTCTTTGATGAAGAATTAAAGAAAATGTATTAAAAAAATGTGATTAAACTCACTGTTCTAAGAAGTTTATTGTGGTTTGCTACGAAGAAGTGATGTGTCACGGTCTGACTTAATTGTGATGAGAACCAAGTGTTTGCTAGGGCATCACCCTCAAGTGATAAATCATAATTTGATTGTGGGAAAAAATTAGCAAGGGTGGGTTAGGATGTAACTCCTGACGCGAGTCACCACAACAAAACATAATTATGATGAAAAGTCCATTAGGTCAATATTATTATGGTGGAAAATTCACTAGGTTCAAATTTAATAGTGGATTTGGTACACGTTATTTGGAGATTTTAAATGAGAAGTCAAAAGATTTGGTAGACACAATGATTAGAAAAAGAATAAATATTGCTTGATCTTTAGAACTGGATGTCATATATTAAATTTGCTGCATGGAATTTGGAGATTTTGAATATGAAGAGAAAAGATTTGGTAGGCATAATGATTAGAAAAAGAATAAACATTGATTGCTTATAAGAATTTGATGGAAAGTAGAAGAATCTGAGGACATAGCTTACATTGTAAGTAAATGTATTTGAATAGATTAATAATAGAAACAAAGATAAAATAGCAGCGCATGGGAAAAAATAAAGTTCTTGAGATGAGTAGGATTAGAGATAGGGTGAATTAGATTAGCACTGAAGAAAGTTTAACCACACAATGTACAGTGATAATTATAAATGCATATTTTAAAAGTATGATAACATGAAAAAAAAATCATTGCCCTGGTATGAAGTAACGAAATATGGAAGGTGAAAAAGTATTGATCTTTCAAAATTGGTTGCTGAGACAAATCTTATGTAGAAAAAAAAACAAGCTCCATCAAGAAAATTTTATAGAGATTTTAGAACGTTTAGAAATGGATCTTGAACTGATAAGAATACTTGCTGGTGGAGTGAGAACATGTTTAACATTATTATAAAAGATAAACTTACTTTTTAAAAGGTGCAAAAAAAAAATGAATACTATAGATGCTTATAATAGTTAAAAGAAAACTAGAAATTTTACAAAAAGTACAGTGAGAAAACCAAAAGCTATGTGTTTTTATGATTTATATAGTAGGCCCTGAAATTTGATTTTTCTTCAACTTCTAGCATTGCATCATAGCCATCAATGTGTAATTGTGATTTGTCAACAAAAATGCCTATTTGAAAGCTTTTGAGTCCCTACCAAACACTTTTGAGCCTTTTTCCCATAATTGCACCTGGATAAACCGCATTTATAATTTAAGCATTGTGAGTTAGCTTCATGATTCATCAAGCTCATGTGACCCAAGCCAAAATCCCATTGGTTAATAATAGAAGATCGGTTGTGACCTCAGAAAATCCTACTCAAAGAGTTTTGTATGCATCTCCCTATCCCTAAAAATCCTAGGGAACAAGGTTTTAACTAATTCAAAGCCACATATTTAGAGATGATCATGGAATTTCTAAATACTTCAGAGAATGCCCTTTCCCTCTTTAAACCTCTAATGTTGTTGAAGATTTTCATTATTATGTTAACGGATACTATCATTAGGTAATTCAAAAGCTTGCCATACAAGAGCATTTCCTCTATTGTGCAATTGTCATATATTGGCATCCCAATTCTCTTCTTGGAGCCCCTTGGAGACCTCCCAATCTCTTTTAAGTGCAAAGCTTTCACAATTATGTAGCCCGATTTAATCTTAACTTTCACGAGATGATTAATTTTGATCCTAACATCACTAATTTTACACAGAGTATGTCCTTCATTTTGTGAGTATAAAATATGTTTTATATTTCTTCATCATATCTCTTGTTGCTCGAGTGTATAGTTTTTCCAACCCAATGTGTGACACAAAAAACCTTGCAACCATGGCATATTGCTCTTATATTTTTGCTCATCCATTCTAAGATGATGGCCTCGTTGTATGAAATGTAGATGATAATGTTGTGGTTATAAAAAACCATTATCAATTGCTATGATATTCTCTGAATACTTGTAAACATCAAGAGTTTGGTTAATATGTTATTCTTAAAATTGGCCAAGAGGATAATGCTCAACACAAAGCATTTTTAGCTTCTTTGGTGATAAGCGTGTTCTAATTTCCAAAATGCTTAATTATGCTCTAAGTATTTTGGAGGAACTGCAATTTGAAGTCACTAGCAAACTTCATAGTTATCAAAGTGTCATCCACTTCCCACAAAATGTATGATTGCCCTCTTCTAAATACTTTTTAAGTGGTAGTGTTTATAGCACCGTTGACCATAAGGTTTCCAACACCATTAAGGCATTGGAATCATTTGGAGATATCTTATTCCTTTGAAAAAATGTTGCCTCAAATCATAAAGTAGAACCCTTCTTCCATTCAAGGCATCAACAGGAGGAACCATAATATTATCCAACCTTTAGAGAATGTGGATGATGTCCTAACCATCAAAACAATTAAGTAGGAAGAAAATTTTGAATTAGTTTATCATGTGAAGGTACTTTCCAAACATAACATATTTATTGTTTCATAATAATCTTGATACTTCTGCTGGGGATCATTTGAGATGCTAAGAGTAAACCTTTATTGCATTTGCCATAATATACTTTTTTTTTAGAGCTAAGTCATCAAACACGATGAGAGAAAATTTATTGATGATCTAAAAGTAACAATCATGAAAGTTGTCAACAAACTTCTCGACAATTTATTCATTAGGGAAACCTAATATCTTGAGTGGGTCTTCCATATTATAATGACAAAGAAATCAAATGACAAATATAGTATATGCATCTACTTAAAAAGAGTTAATGATATTTGCACAAAAGGTTCTTATTCACTGCCATCATTGACACTTCAGTGAACTTAATTGTAAGGGTTTTATCCTAAACTTTCTGGATGCCTTTTTTTACTACCATTAAATTAACATGAACCCTAAAGATGAGGACAAGACTAAGTTCATCATTAACAAAGTTATTTTTGTCGCAATCTTATGCCCTTTCAATTTCAAAAATGTAGGATATCAATGATTGATGGACGGATGCTCAAATTACATAAAGAAAGAAATCTAGAAGTGTATATTGATAATGTGATGGCCAAAAGCAAAAATCATAAAGGAGCCATCCCACTAACCTCACTAATACCGGAACTAGTAGTAAAAATAGTGAAAACACAAAACAAACTTTTATTAACAGGAAAATAGGGATTACAACACAACGCAACAATATGAAACATAGACGAGACAAGCAAACATTCCAAAAATTATTCCAATGGGTGGTGGAGGTTGGCTAGAGGAATAGGATGATTTGAAGGGATGATGACAACCACGGGAGGCAGGTGGCGGTGAATGGAAAGTGCGAAGCTGAGTACAATAAGTAGGTAGGATTGTAGGTGGTCGATAGCGGGCAGTGGGGTGGGTGGCTAGGAGGATTTTGGAAGGAGGTTGGAAGGTTGGACAACGATAATAGCTTGCAGGAAAGGGGACGGCACGGCGTTGGTGATGAAGGGGGAGTTCAGTGGTTGTGACGTGGGGAGGAGAATGTTTAGGGAAGATAAAAGGGAAGGATACAACCACCATCTCGGAGAGGATATAACCGAAGCACCACCACTTCCTCAGATATAAGGGAAAGAACTCCACACAGAAATCTGAGAATAAACACCACCAAAACTGACTTTTACAAACACAGGGTGCATCAATTTATAGCCTCCTACAAAGCAAAGGGGGTGGGAAGGTAAGGATCCAAAAAACTTTCCCCGGGCAAACAAGCTTCCTGGATTGCGAGAGGTCGCGATTCGCCTCCCGCCTTCGCGCGGAATCGCAATTTCGTCCAGCCTTCGCGCGGAATCGCAATCTCGTCCAGCCTTCGCGCGGAATCGCAATCTCGTCCCGCCTTCACGGGGAATTGGAATCTTGTCCCGCATTCATACGGAATCGTAATCAAATTAAAGAGAGACGCTGACCCTCAATTAGTGCCCTATGATCTCGAACACTCCCCGGCATGCCTTCACTTTATTTACCTCACACTCTGTCGAGGAAGTACAACTCCCCAACAAATCGCACACGAGGGAACCAAGAATTTTGTCTTCCAGTCCTTCACCTTTTTCTCAAGGCCCAATAGTTGAATCTTAGGACACGCGACGAATTGAATGCAGTCATCACAATCGATCCGAAAGGAAAAAAAGTAGTTGAAGTGTTCGGTCGACCGTGAGATTTTCATTTTCCGACAAAAAAGTACATAAGTAATGACGGCGATGATCGAGTTAGGAAGAACTTGAGCAAAAATGATCCCATAGCGATTGAAGATCGACCGCAAATCAAGACAAAACAGCAGCTGAAGACCTATATTAAAAACTAGGTTAGGAGAAAAACAAACTGTAGCTCACTGGTGACTGGTTGTCGGTCGTAGAAAAATCGTAGGATCCAGAAAATACCGTTCCAGATCTCCTCTACGTTTGCCACAGGGAGGACTGAAGTTTCCGCAGAAAAAATAATTCCTGAGAGATTTTTCAAGCCATGGAGCCTGAAACACTGCACTAGGGGGAAGAAAAGGAAAAGAAGAGATATATTGAAACCTAGAGAAAGAAGGAAAGAATAGGGGCTCTCAACCGCTACTCAACTACGTATATATACGTGAAAGGGCAAGGTGAAACACCGCCGAAAAAACTGACCTGACGGGATTACACGTTACTCGGAGCAGTAATCATTACCAAAAATAGAAAAAATATTTTATTTTATTTGTATACAAAAAAGAGGACGTGTCATGCCAAACCCTCAAAAACAACTAGAAAAGAAAAAAAAACTTAACTAGATGATCGTTCGCAGCTTCGTCCTAGACAGACCCTCGGTGACGAAACCGTTCATACATACTACCCCTCGATTGAGTGGTGAGGAACTCTCTAACGACGACGATTCCAAACACAGATGTGTCATCTCCTCACGATCGACAAACATCTCTCCAGAAAAACAACAAGCTCATCGTGAAGTGCAAAAGCTCCCTTCTCCACTCGGTCAACTCTCTCCAAAACTTCAACAATTCCTTCATTACTATCTTCCCGAGGATAACCAATAAAATGATGGAAACACTCCTCCATCTCAACAAGACGACACACTATGAAGTCTAAGGACACCCTACACCCTCCGATCACTTCCCCTTTCCTCGTAGCGCCATAAGAAAACTGGCAACCCATCTTGCCCCCGCCGATGGATAAGTTCCCCTCCATCCTCAGCTTCTAGCTCCCAGCTCGACACTCTGCTCCACAACACCTCGCCCCACTACGCCCCGTTCCGCATAGTCCACTCCCCCCTGGGCGACTTTTTCAATAGCAGTCACATCATCTGCAGAACCGACATTAGTATCTATCGAAAAAAAATCGATGATCGGGACTTAGTAACCGCGCCAGGAAAAGAGAAACAAAAAACAATTCAAGTTACATACCCAAATTCACCCACATTCATATGTGGTGTAAGAAAAACTATCTTCATCAGCTTTTCTCAACCATCCACCCTCAGAGAAAATACCACCCTTTGTCAGTCGAAGCCATGTCTCAGCTTCGACCGACGCCTCCTTAAGGCCTCTTTGGGGGACCACAACCCCCGCAAAAACTTTAGCAGAAATTCTTTCTCCGATGGTAGGAACACTCATCTCCGACTGGTGCTCTGTAAGGCGAACGTCATAACACTTTCTAACTTGCTCCGCAACCTTCTCCTGGAACGAGTCCGCGAGGAAACCCGAAAACCAGACTCGCTACTTGTGCTCTTCAGTTTGTGGTTTCAACACAACACTCTTCTTGCTTAATTCCCTCGCAAAGATCTCGCCCCCTAGCTTCCGCTTTGTGAGTCTTTACCCGCATGCCCCCTATGGCCTTGAGGAGGACATCCTTGTCTGCAGGTAGTGCTCCTCTGCCAGACATGATAACAAACACAGAAGGAGAATGACGCAAAATTCCAGAGCATAAGAGAAAGAAAGGGGCACAAACTCTCATTATCCAACAACTTATTTATAATGGACTGAGCACGGAAATCAAGGGAAGTTCATTATTATGCAATAATATGATTTAATTATTTCTTATATGTTAAAAAAGATGCCATTGATCTTGTGTGTTGTTCAGCTTCGAAGGAGCAAGAAATTCAGAAATTTAATATATATATATACATGTTTAACATT